TAACCCCAAACTGGGGGGGGGGGGGGGACAGCATGGGATTGGGGATGATTTTACATAAGGGAAGGTGATCAAGTCAGCCAGGCTTATGCCTGTCCTGGTCTCTTTCTTCCAGGCAGGATTTAATCCTGAGGACCCCAGCATCTCTCACTACTTAGTCAAGGTTGTTCTGTCTCACACTGGAGGTTTCTAATGCATCAATCTGTAGATACTTGGCTTCCCTTATCTTGCTAACAGACACAGAGATAGATCTGGCTGCTATCTCACTAAGGCTTAAGGGCAGTTTTATGAGGCTACCGAAGGAGACAATTGTACTCCAGTGCGCTCCTTAGCTACTGTCTTGGGTACTCTCCTGTACTAGAGCTTTTTCCTTTGCACTAAATTCTTAATATCTACCTTTTTTAGATCCATCAGTCTAGATGGTTCACCAGACAGCTGCAAACTGCCTTAGTGGATACTTAGCTCATCTCTTAGCTGCCTTTTTTGACCTCCTGTTGGGCTCTACCTTACTGCTCAGCTGTTCAATTAATGCACTCCACTTGCTGTTGTTTGTTAGTTTAATTAGCTCTTGATTACCCTCCCAGCCTTCTCTGTCATTCCCTGTCTTTGTCTTTGGCCATGAGGTTTGCAATGCCCATGGTGTTTAAATAGCGTTTCAGATTTTTCTTGCTGTCTAGCATCAAGATGTCTCCTTTGCTTCTATCTAGCCATACACCCACACAGTCATGATTAAGCAAGATGCTTGTATAGACTGCATTCTCCTCTGTGTATTAGTTAGGTACCAAAATAAATGATTTGGGATCATTGACATTTGTCTTGCTCTTGTCTGTTAATGCCTTTAAGGTGACCAGATTCTCTCTGACTCAGTCAAGTTCTGTCCCTCTTTAAAATCTGCATCTTTTACAGATTGCCTGGAAATTACTTGCACGGGGCAATGCACAGACAACTAGCAAGCTGCTTTTTTCTGTACAATTCATTGCTTGATCCACCTGCTAAGGCACTACCAGCCCACTTATCTTTTACCCACTTGTAGGTCCTCTCCATTTCTTTTTAAGATACTGAATTCACCAAGGCAGGGATTGTACTTTGTTTGTGTCTACACTGCCTGGTACAATGGCACCCTGATCTTTGATTTGAGATTCCTAAATGTTTCTTATCTATAAAAAGGCCAGTGAAATGTGCTTCCTGGTTCACCAGACCTTGCTTTTTATTCTTGGATCATTTCCCCCAGTATGTGTTGATGCTGTCTGCTACTTCTGTCTGTCTCCCTTTTCTGCTGTTACCAAACTAGGCTTTCAGCTTGGAAAGGAGCAAGGCAAGATAAATGAGTTATCTACTTTCCATGCCCTGTTCCAGGCAGCTGAAACAGTATTAGGTTTTAATCAAACATAGCAAATCTGCTTCGTTAGAGAGAGGCCAGATGTAAGCTTTCTCTTTTTTTGGATGGGGTTTGGACCTAGTGCAGCCAGCTAAATCAATACTGTCTCCAAAGTCTCGATCTAGATGTTCCTATGTTTGGCTCTGCTTTTATTATTAACAGTTTTAATAAATAAAAGGTCAAGTTTAGTGTAGTCTCTGTTTAGCATGTGCTAAATTTTATCCCTTTAATGTACATTCATGGAAGGAAGGAAGACTCTTGTTCTTGAAAGCTTGTCCAACAGCTTGCCTAGCTAAAAATAAGACAAAAAAGCCTTGCTCTTTGGTGATTTTAAAGCACTGAGCCAGAACTCAGGGGATGAGGGTTCAGCTCCCAGCTTCATTTCAGATTTTTACACAGGTCCTTAAGTAGTCATTGAATCTCAGATTCAGGAGGGTAGTTCAGGAGCAGAACCAGGGAAGCCAGTAAGACTGATCACATATCAAAGGTTACATATGTGCTTGAGTACTTTGAACAGGGACCTTTAAATGTCTGTTTTAAAATGGGAAAGCATCATTACTTCTGTCTCACAGGTTATTGAGGATAAATTCCTAGGTGTTTGGGAGGTGCCCCCAGGGGTACTGTAGATAGATTGAGTGTGGGTCTTGTCCCATGGCCCCATGATCGTTCCTGTTGGTTTGCTTTGGTAGAAGAGCAGTGAATCAAACCATATAACTTTCTGGGTTGTCTCTACTTTCCTTTTCTTTTGCAACGTATGTACTGGCAAATGCTAATGCAGTGAGAATGGGGAGCTTCTTGCTGAGCTGGCTAAAAGGGTAATAAACCCCCCCCCCCCCCC